TGGCGAGCACCATTCTTGACGGCAAGGTGATGGACTGCTACTTTCGGGTCCAAGCCAGGCATCTCTTTGTAGCTCCAAGCAAAGACATTCCTGAACTCCATGAATAACTCAATATAAGAGATTTCTTCATCCACTTCTAGTAAAGCACTTAGGTAGATGTGTCTTGGTTCTTCATCGGTGCCAAGGTTAACTTCTTTTAAAGCATCAACTGTAGTCTTCACTCCTTCTTCAAGTTCAGGTGGAGCATCTTTCACATCTTCATCTTCTTGAGGGTCCCCATCGTTGAAGGATATGTGATAACACAGTGAAATATCGTCCAATTTCTCGTCATCCTCCATTAGAGATAAAACACCATGCTCGCCATGTGCAGTAACATGATACGAAAAACCCACACTTTCTTCGTCTTCATCACGTTCTTTAGTGCAGACCATAGTGTATGACTTCACCTTCAGTACCTCATCACACAAAACCATGACTTTCGTTTATCGCTTCATTCTAGAAGGAACCAAACTTTAGAAATTTTTAGAGATCTTTTGAATTTTGGGCAAAGTGGCTATTTTTGTATTTCGATAATTTCTCTGGAACTTATTCCCCTTCTTTAATGGACCTAATCTCTCAAATACAGAAGTTCTCACAGTTGATTTTCCAAGTCGATCAAAGACATAAGGCCTGTTAGAAGCGGCAGATTCGTCTTCTACAGTGATATAATTGTTGCTCTCCCTTCTTTTGGAGATGCGCACTGGTAACAGTTGCTTGTATCCCAAACTTTCACGTGGTTGCCTCGTCGCATCTTCTGATTGGAGCTTCCCTAACTTTGACGACTCATTGAGATTATATCCAGCTTTTGCAAATAGCCTGTAAGCATTAGGATCAAAATCTTCATCTGTTCGCTTTATAGGGAGTGCCACATTCTGCAAATGATTTTGGGCTACAAACCCTGCAAGTGGCTTTGAGGACAACTTTACTGCCTCAATTTGTTTTACCGGAAGAGCTAACTCCTTTAGCATGTTAGTTTGGAGATTAGATAATTCACCATCATCTTTCTTTCTTTTAGGGACATATTGGAGTACATGAATTACTTTCTTGCCATAAGACGCAATATTCCCTTTATGAGATTTATTCGCGTTGGGTTGTACCTCCTTAGTAATAGCTTTGGATCTACCAGCAATCACCTCAGCTCTTTTAGTTGTGGGCTCATCATTCTTGCTTTTCATGCCATCATCAGCTTTTAGCTCCTTCACAATGCAGTTCTTCAAGTAGAACTTTGCATCGGCGAAGTGTGACTCAGCCTCGATGAATGGCTCATCATCAGCAACTATCTTCTTCTCGCCTTCACCCTCGTAGTATTTCAAACATTGATGGTAGGTAGATGGAACCACTTTATTCTCATGTATCCAAGGCCTTCCGAGCAAGACGTTGTATGAAGTCTTTGAAATGATCACATGCAGCCATGCACTTGATTGCATATCTTCAATAGTGATTCCCAACCTGATCGCACCTATGGCTCTTTGCTCCCCTGGTTGAATCCTTGGATCATTACATGACTTTCTGAGAGTTCGTTCATAGGAATATCAAGTTCTTTCACAGTGCGAATTGGCAAAATGTTCACTGAGGATTCTCCATCAACCAAAATTCAATTTACCCTTTCATCACACATATAGCCAACCAGGTACAATGGACGGTTATGAAGAGTGTCACCTAGCAGAAGATCGTCATTTGTGAATGTGACTTTTTCCTCACAAGCATTAACTTCTTGAGGAGTGGACTCGATGAGCTTTTCCGAAGATAGTACCAACGGTAGGTCATCACTCTTTTCTTCCCCTTCGTCAGCATGGAAACATGAGGCATCAATACCCCCATGGGAAATTTTTGTGCGGAACCAACTTGGTAAAAACTCCTCCAAGGTCACTGGATGTTGTGGCTTTTGAGGGTGGTGCACCTCCACTTTTGCTTTCTTTAAGTGCTTAACTGGATTCCATCTCCTTGGTTTTTTTACCGTCATTTTTCTTGTTGGTTGTTCTACTGATTCTTTTCGTGGGCTCCTTCTGTGGTGCCTACGATGAGTCACCAACGTCCAACCTTCATCATCATCAGGTTGATTGACTTCATCTTTGTCGTTCTCCAACAATTCTTCATCTTTACTTTCTTTAAAACCACATAATGCATTCGGACTGAATGAGCCAAAGGTGATAGAGACTTGATTTACGCTTGCTTTCTCATCTTCAAGTACGATCTTCTTTTCGCGAGCCAAGTCCATAACTTTGTCCTTGAAGACAAAGTACTTCTCTAGAGGGTGGCTCACAAGTCGATGGTATTTGCAGTAATTTGGGTCATTTGTTTTCCCAGCTTCACTTGGTCGCTTCATCTCCGGAAGCTCAATGAGATTTAACTCGAGGAGTTCTTCAAAAATAGCTGGCACATCAGAATCCAGAAATGGGTACTCTTTCTCTTGCATTTCTTTTAGAGTCAACTTTCCACTTGGCTTATCTTGAAAAGAAGTGGATTTCATACTCTGCTTCTTGCTCACCTTCGTCGTGAACTTTACAGGTGATGTATTGACATTCATAGCTTCTTTGCTTTCAGGCTTGGTTACGAACTTGCCCCACTTCCTGACTTCTTGCTTGTCATTCCCCTTGAGAGATTCATAGATGGGCAGCCTTTCATTTCCAGTGGAGGCCATGCTCAATTCCATGTCATGGGCACGAGTTGCAAGTTCTTCAAATGTGCTAGGCTTGATATCTTGCAAAATGTAGCGCAATCCCCAATGCATTCCTTGGATGCACATCTCTATGTGAAAAGCTTCACTAAGCCTGTCTTTGCAGTTTAGGCTTGCATTCCTCCAACGATTGATAAAGTCAATAAGTGGTTCACCCTTTCGTTGACGAGTATTTATAAGTTCTATCATACTCACAGTATGTCTCGTGCTATAAAAGCGATTGAGGAATTCTTGCTCTAGTTGATCCCAGCTATCAACAGATCCAGCCTCGAGGTCCGTGTACCAATCAAAAGCATTTCCTTTTAATGAGTGGACAAACTGCTTGACGAGGTAATCTCCATAAGTCCTAGCATGTTGCATGTCTCAACAAAGTGTGCCACATGTTGCTTTGGATTGCCTTTGCCATCGAACTGTTGAAATTTTGGAGGTTGATAGCTAGCAGGCATCTTCAACATATCGATCCTTGCAGTGTACGACTTTGCGTATGTAAGGGAGGACTTGGCAGCAACTTCCTATTTAATCTTAATAGTTACTTCAATGAACTCCTTCAGTTGATCGATGAGAATCATCTCTTCAGATGAGATAGAGATAGCCTTAGCGGATGCTACTAGTATCGGGGGAGAATCAATCTCTGGAACTTCCGGGAGCTTGCCAGGTGCATGGGTGGATTCTTCTTCCATCAAGATTCCCACTCTGTTTGTTAGTTTGTCAATTCTAGCATCTTGATTTTGCATGCACTTGGTCAAGCCTGCGATTGCTTCCGTCAAGTTCGCCAACTGGTCTTCCACAGATGAAGTATTTGTCACCGTAACTTGCATGATTGTTGTAGATGATGGGGAGTAGCATGGATTGTCACACAGATTGATTCTCGAATGGCTCATGCTACGCGGTGTAAATGGGGAGGATCCATCACTTGAAGCATCATCATCTTCCTTCACAGCCGAGTTCTTGGATCCGGAGAGGTCAAGCAGAGCAAGAGTTTTCTTGATCTTTTCAGCAATATCGCTTCCTCCTTCGGGTACGTTTGTAGAAGATCTTGCTCCTTTTGAGGATAAAGATCCGAAAATAGGGGTTGATGCAGACGATACTTGGGGTGCTTGTTATCCTAACGAGCTTTCTTTTCTTCTCGTAACTGGTCCAAAGCTTCCAAAGGTAACATCGAGGATGGTTTCTACATCAACATAGAACCTGGAATTAGCAGCCTTGGTGGAAGTTGAACTGGAGTTGATTTTCTTTGAAGCCATTTCAATTATATTGAACTTTGGTGATTTGAAAAGTTGAGATGAGATGTAGAGATTGTCCCACTGGGCATGCCAGAATTTGTAGACAATAAATTTGCGTCAGAAAAATAATCGAGACCGAAAAATATCGCAACAATTGTAGTATTTGATTTCAAGTAATTTGAGTGTACAATCTCTATGAATCCTCTGATTCTTTTTTCCAATAGTAAATAAATTCAAGGGCCTTTGAGCTTGATCTTGAATCTATATTTATTTCCACGAACGATGATCTTGAATTCAACTAGCAAGAACTTTGATTTGAACTCGTACTCCTTGAATCTTGACTTGTTCTTCGTTCTTGAGATTGAACTTGATTTCTTGAGCTTGAAGTTCTTCGTTCTTGAGCTTGAACTTGATTCCTTGAAGCTTGAAACTTGTAGAGAAATTTGCGGCGTTTGATCCACGAGCTCTTTCTTGCTTTTTGTTATAACTTCTGGCGTCTTTTCTGGGTTATGAAGACCCCTATTTATAGTTGTGGAAGGGAGAAGTTGTGATAAGAACAAACTCCTTCTGACCAATCAAATTGAAGTGTGATATGGCCGCATTTGATTGGCCAGAACATGTCACTTGTACACGTGGTGCGATTTCATTAGCCTTTTAACGTGACTTGGCATGCCTTGTCATTTTGACACGTGGCATGATCCTATTGGCTCTTCCATTTGACTTGGCGTACCACGTCATTTCACGTGTGACACCAAATTGGGCCTCTAGGAAGATGATATCTTGGGCCTAATGAAATAGGCTCATCACTCTAGCCTAATTAAATGGGCTAGCCCAATGGATTAAGACTTACTCATTTAGTCCGTATGTATTGAACTTATATAATTAATTCAATTATATATTAGCCCATAATATATATTTGGACCAATATATCTTGAATTTAAAATATAGTCCAAATTATTTTATTGAATCTAAATTCAATAAAATTTGTATACCTATTCTTGGCTTTCTCTAATATCAAGTCCTCAGTTCGTCAAAACCCATCTAACACTTTCAGCCAATAATCAACATTTTATTTACCATAGGCTTATTTTTAGAAACTTCGAGATTGACAATAGCTTGACTTTATACACTAACACTCTTTACCCAACTATGTATGAAGTACCTCATCCCTACTGAGCTTGATTTTGCTTGTGAAGATACATTTGGTGACAGATATAGAATTTTGGGTTCGTGTGATGGGTTGTTCTGTATTTGCCGTGATTTTGAGGATCTGTTTCTATGGAATCCATCTACAAGAAAGTTAAAAGAATTGCCATCTTCAGGAATTAATGTGTTGCGCGATAGTGAGGGTATTGATATTTCTTATGGATTTGGTTATACTGAGTGTCAAAGTGATTACAGAGTAGTAGAAATTGTGCGAAATGAAAACAGTAATCGTTACAATGTTAGTGTTTATAGTTTAAGAACTAATTCTTGGAAAAGGATTCAAGAGTACCTGAGTATTATCTTCTGGGATCATTCTGGTAAATTTGTAAATGGAAAACTTCACTGGAGCGCCGAAGATCGTGTTAGTGATGGGAATTCCACATGGTTTATTTCTTTATTCAACACTGCAGATGAGACATTTGGAAATGTAGCGTTGCCCAACCCAAATGGTAGTTTTTTTGACTGCGAAATAGGGTCTTCAGGTAATCTATGTTTATTTTGTTACGAAGAATTGAAGACGGATGTGTGGGTAATGAAGGAGTACGATGTTGCAGAGTCATAGACCAAGGTGGTTTCGATCCCCACAAAAAATTATGACGCTTGGTCAATTTTCATCTCCCAAAATAATGAAATTTTAGTGCATGAATCTAGAAGCATAGTGTGGTATAATTCAAGAGATAACACTTTCATGCGTCCTGAGGTTCGGATACGTTGTGATTCTGCAAACAACCTTGGTTTGTACAGTGAAAGTCTTGTTTCTCCAAATTTTCTAGAGGAACCTACGGATCAATGAGTGAAAGGGTGGAAATTCGTGCTATAGTTTTCTAGGTCTAGTGCATAATGAAGTACTAACAAAAATTTCTCTGTGAATGATTCTTGAGATTTAGCAAAGAGTGGAACAAAATTGTGGCATGACGTAGTTAGTGTAAAATTTGGTTGGAGGCAGATAGCCAGACTTCACTTTATATACTGGCTGTATAGTAGCATCTTTTTCTTGATTTTTCAATCTCAGTTTGTCAATGGTACTTTCTTTGGTCGAAGATCTTTTAAAGGTAGCTTATTTTTCTTTATTTTTTCCTTTTTGTGGCTTCTGCATTATAAAATTTGGGAATGCTGCTTATGTTTGATTTTTATGGTGGAAAAAAGCGAAAGGCTTGGCGCGTTAAGAATTTACTATGAATAGATATCTCTTTTTTGTACAAGTGCACTTATAGTCCTGGGTTTAAGGATGAGTTAAGTATTGCTTACTGTTGTAAATCTTGCATTTGCCTTCTTTTACTGCTTTATGCGAGGATGGGGCATCCTTGGTCGAGTTGGTCCCAAATTATCTCTCCCCCCTCTTAAAAAAGCGATCTTTTGTTTGGTACTAGAACCCCTTTTCTGCACTTTTTACCTAAGAATTTGCAATAGGAAAGATTACTTTGCATTGAATAGTTTTACTGCATTAANATCCTAACAACAATCTTTTAAAACAACATTACAACAATTTAAAAATTACAAATCTGCGTTGTTGGTAAAGCTTGTGGTCTTCTTTGTTTCAACAACCTCTTTTGGTCTTCTCATTTAGTTTATACAGGAATTATATTGCTCTATAGGGGTATTCAATTTAATTCCTAGTTAATAGCATGGATAGTTATCATTTGAAAAGGAATACTGTGCTTAAAGCGAATAGTTTATTCAGACAGTTTAAAGTTGAAAAGAAGAGTAAGACATCAATGGCCATTTTCTAATAGTATTTGATGTTAATTTGAGAACATGACTTGAAGATTTGTATGATAGATGGGATAAGCACTATATATCTTGTTTTTGGGCGATTTTAATAATTGACTTTAAGACTGAAGTTTCAAAGCCAACTTGGTATAGTGTCTGGATTTTGGAAAGATTTTGTTGGTTTCAAAACCAAGCTAGAATTGTATTGAAATGGTGTGAAACAGTTCTGCTTTAGTTTTTTGAATTCTAAACAAGTTGAAATACCTGTTCAACTATCGTAAATGGGATGAACGAAAGATGAGTTTCAGAACTCATGGCAATGAGCCAATTTTTAAAAGGAAATCTGGAAAAGCTGTTTCCCAGATAAAGAGTTACGACCCCAATTTCACTCCGTAGGATGTCGTGATGGCACCTACTCTTACTAGGTAAGCCTAACACTTACTGAACTAATGGCAAGATTCAACCAACAACTTTTAAATATGAAACAGAAATTTCTATACGAAGCCAACAATCCCAAAATCGGTAGTATAAGTCATAAGTTCTATTGAGTTCACTAGAAAATCTCTAAGTACAATTATTCCGGAATGAAAATTAAACTGTACAAAAATAACTTCTGAATGTGCCTCTGAGGCTTGCGAACGCGACGACAAGTATACCTTGAAGTCTCCACAGCAATATCTGATCCGCTGTCTAACAATCAACAGACTCCGAAGTACTTGGATCTGCACAAAAATGTGCAGAAGTGTAGTATGAGTACACCACAGTCGATACCCAGTAAGTATCAAGGCTAACTCCAGTGGAGTAGTGACGAGGTACAAGTCAAGATACTCACTAGACAAAATAACATGTGTAATATAGAAGTATAAAACTAATAATGGAAAGCGAAAATCAGTAAATGGCAACGAGAACCAACAAGTGATATAAACAGTAAAGCAATAAGAACACCGTGAAATATCATTAAAACCAAATAGGGAACACGAATGGCAATCGATTAGTCAAGTCGAACTAACACAAGTTTCACAACAAAATCATTCCGTGATGCTTCATCTCATAGTCACAAGTCACGAGTCTCAACCCACCATTATATACTCACGGCACCTCGTGCTCACATCTCGTATCACAACCGCACGGACAACTCACGTGCCAAAATTTCAATCCGCCAGGCATGGTCACAAGCTCACATTCACAATCCGCCCGGCCTGGTCACAGGCTCACAATCACAATCCGCTCAGCATGATCACAGGCTCACAATCACAATCCGCCCGGCATCTCAGGCTCACATTCACAATCCGCCCCGGCATTGTCACAGGTTCACAATCACAATCCGCCCGGCACGGTCACAGGCTCAATATCAACATGGAAATAGATAATACAAGAACACATGAGCATAATCAATAAATGTCAAGTTTCATACTCATGAGCTAGTATAAGTGGTATGCTACGGTGTATGCTTGTGCGAGTGTACTACTAGAGCCCAAGTCAACAAGTAATATCAAAGACATCGAATAACCCATCGAAACAACTAGGCAAGTCACGTAAGGTGTATGACAAACACAAGAAAAAGCACACCATCACACGAAAATCACGAACACAACGTCTCCAAACCATCACACATCATCCCTTACATTGCCACTCTTATCTCTCCGATAGTCACCGGTAGCTCTCCGCCCTGACATTATCATTAGTTATGTTGCACGGACTTTCTAAAACAGCTTCCGCATCCGTATCGTATCCTTCAAAAATGCACTACTTTTGGAGGATCCGGCACGCACCCATCGACATTTTCGGAGAGTCCGAGCAACATAGATCATTAGCCACCCTTATCTCACTTATAGCCACCCGTATCACTCCGTATAATAGCCACCCTTATCGCTCCGCCCGGATAATAACACAATAGCCAACCGTATCACTCCGTACATTCAACAACAGTGAGATGCCACCTTATGCTCCGCATAACAACAATGGTGAAATGCCACCCTTATACTCCGCATAACAACAACGGTGAAATGCCACCCTTATACTCCGCATAACAACAACCAAATCACATAACAATTCACATGTGCTATCATCACAACAACACAACATAACAACTTGTATCACAAGTGCCCGTAGGCCACAACCTTTCCAAAGATTCAACAATATCAATATTTTCACAACAAATAGCCCATGGCTCAATACAACATATATAGAATCTCAGTAACAACAAAATGAACGGAAAAGTAACTCAACAAGGAACAATAACCCATTTAAACACAACTTCAATTAGAATAGATTAATTACTCCAAATAAAGCATATAAGAGCAAACTCGATAAGTAAAGAATGTGACATATAACGACAACTTCAAATAAAGCATTTGATAGTAGACATGACAAATAAAAAATATAACATGTGCTAATAATTCCAAATAGGTCCATAAAAGATGCCTAAGAGTCTAGACCAGTCAATTTCCATATATAAGCCCGAGTACGTACTCGTCACCTCGCGTACACGGCTTTCACATGACACAAATAACACAAACGACTCAAATCCTAAGGGGTAGTTCCCCCTCCACCCCCCACAAATTTAGGCACGATACCTACCTCGAAGAAGCTAGACCGATACTCTAAAATGACCTTCTCGTGTGAAACAACCTCCAAACGGCTCAAATCTAACCAAAATAACTTCATATCATGAATAAAAATCATAGGAAACAAATTCGGATAATAGAGATTCGATCTCTAATTAATACTAAAAAGTCAATCCAAAGGTCAACCCCAGGATCGCACCTCGGAAGTCGACAAAATTTACAAAATCCGATTACCCATTCCGATACGAGTCCAACTATGCCAAAATTATCCAATTCCAACATCAAATCGGCTTTCAAATCTTCATTTTCCATTTTTGAATTTTTTTACAAAACTTCCCATTTTGTCTCATTCAATTCACTAATTGAATGATAAAAATAATTATAGAGTCATGAAATATAATTAATTTCGGGTAAAGAACACTTACCCCAATCCAAATCGTGAAGAACCCCTCCAAAATTGCCCAAAATCGAGGTCTACAACTCAAGATATGATAAAAATAACAAAGCCCTCGAAATAAAGTACTTTTTATATTCTGCCCAAATATTACATATCGCGATCGCGGAACATTCCTCGCGATCGCGAAGAACAAAATGAAGGCTGTCAAAAATAACCTTACGCAAACCGCTAACACAGTCGCGAACACGACTCACAGTGACCTCTGCTTACGCGATCGCGAACAAAATGATGCGAACGCGAAGAACAATAAACCTAGCCTCTCCAGCATGGCCGCCCACTACGCGATCGCGTGACACCTACCGCGAATGCGATGAAGCAACATTCACAAGCACGCCATCGCTGACCATTCACTAAAAACACGAAGAAAGAAGAATGGTCAGTCACAAAACAGCCTACGCGGTCGTGAATCGCACTTTGCGATCGCGAATAAGGATATGAGACACCGGAAATCAACAATCCAAAACATGGAGAAATGGCCCGTAGCCCATCCGAAACACACCCGGGCCCCCTAGGACCCCGTCGAAACATACCAACAAGTTCCATAACATAACGCGGATCCGCTCGAGGCCTCAAATCACATCAAACAATATCAAAACTATAAATCGCGCCTCAAATTGAACTTAATTAACTTATGAACTTTCAACTTCTACGACTCGCGCCGAATCATATCAAATCAACCCGGAATGACGTCAAATTTTGCATGAAACTTTCAGATGACACGATGGAGCTATACCAACTCCCGGAATCAAAATTCAAACCCGATATCAATAAATTCAACTCCCGGTCAAATCTCTTAACCTTCCACGCCTTCAATTTTTTAATTTTCGCCAAAATACATCAAATCAACCTACGGGCCTCCAAATCCAAATCCGGACATACGCCTAAGTCCAGAATCACCATATGGAACTATTAGAATCATCAAACCATCATTCCGGAGTCGTCTACACAAAAGTCAAAATTCGGTCAACTCTTTTCACTTAAGTTTCTAAACCCAGAATCATCCTTCCAAATCAATCCCGAATCATCCGAAATCCGAACTCGACCACACACGTAAGTCATAATACAAAATACGAAGTTGCTCGAGACCTTAAGTCACCGAATAGAACGCTAATTTTCAAAGTCTTTACAAAAGATGTCCTAAGCAGGAAAGATTTGTAAAATGCTATTGAACTTTTCCTCACTTCAGTTATTTTACTATATATGTTGTTGCTGCTTGTTGCTACTGGTCCTTTTCATTTTGTCCTTGAGCCGAGGGTCTTCAGAAACAGTCTCTCTATCTTCACAAGGTAGATATAACGTCTGCGTACACA